TGATTCAATATGTAATTTATTTAGTCCTGTTTTCTCCCCCACTTTATTGCATATAAAATTTCCTCATACTTGTTTTTAAAAGCAACAAGACCAGTTGTTATGTAACCTTTTGGAGGTCACAGATCTCTTTGATAATTTGCCACTATAAGTGCCTAAGTGTTAGCAGTAAGGCTTTTATTTCAGATTCCCATCATTATTGCTCCACAAATTGCCTGGCACTTCTAGTAGTAGGTATTCAACACAATGCTTGTTTAAAGGAGGACTTAGTAATAGCTGGCTGCTTCCTCCTTGATGGTTTATTGTTGGGCATTCAAATTGTTTCTAGTTTTTGACAGTTGTGATGCAGTGCTGCTGTCAACTCCTTCCTATAGTTTTTTTCTCCTTCCCAGAAGGCCTGTTTTTGGCTTGGTTTGAGCTTGGAAAACATGTGTACTTTATTGTCTCTGTGCCTTTGCTTATGCACAAGGAAAGCCTCCTTCTTGTTTGTCCAGATTCTGTCCTGCAAGACTGCTCAAATGCTGATTCCTCCCAGGAGCCTTTCCTCTACCTGTACTTGGAAGTGAACACTTCTTCATCTCTACCTGTGACTTTTTTAAATTAATTCAGGCTGTTGTAACAAATTACCACAGAGTGGGTGGCTTGTAGCCAATAGAAAATTATTTCTCACAATTCTGGAGGCTGGAAGTCTGAGATCAAGGTTCCAGCATGTTGGGGTTCTGGTAAAAACCCTTTTCCAGTTTTCCTCATATGGTAGAGAGAGAGCCAGTGGGTTCTCTGAGGTCTCTTTTAGAAGGAGCCCATTTACAAGGACTCCACTCTCATGACTGAATCACCTCCCAAAGTCCCTACCTCTTAAGATGCCATCCTATTGGGGGTTAGGATCTCAACATACGAATTTTGTGGGGGACACAAAGACTCACCCCTTTGTACTCCTCTGCAGTGGTACTCATCACATTTTATGATCCAGTTGAAAAAAACTTATATATACACCTTATCTCCTTTATTAGACTGTGTTATACCTTATATATTTGAAACCCAGAATGGATCATTTTAATACCATTTGTTCTATAAGAGCTATTTTCAGTTATATGCATGCAAAAATCAGTAATAATTACTACTTTCTTGATTTATTATTTAGTTTTAAAAGAACAATTTTAAAAAGAATACATTTCCACTTTAAAGATACACAAATGCATTAAAGATATTTCCTGGAAGAACCCAAATTTTTACTTACCAAACAAAATATTACACCTCACAGTTCACTGTAAAACCTGTTTTACTGCTTTACGTTTTAAACCCAAAAGTCTAAGTGGTCACAGAGGATAACAGAATTGAAGTCAGATTCTATTTCTTTGTTTTTTTAATCAGTATGATATAATTTTTAATTTAAAATTTACTTTCTATTTAAAGGCAAAAACAAGCAATAAATACTATGGAATTTGGGACATGAGATGGCAAAATAAGTTGGGGGGATACTGAACAATTAGACATCTGCAATGAGCACGCCTCGTGGTCCGTGAACATCAGGGACCAGCTATGTAACTGGGAGGTCTCTAAATTGACTCTAACAGAGAATATGTATTCAAGGAGAAGTAATATAAAACTGTGATCATTTGAAGTTTTTGTATACATTAATAACCCAGTTAGTAACCCTAGCAGTTGTTTACAACTCTGACCAAAAGAACTATTTTGGAGGGGGTGTTAATTTTTATCACTGGCATTATTTAGAATTGTGATGATGAGAAGAAGTTTCTATTACTGTCACATTCACTATGGATGATGGCCCCCTTATCGCCCTCTGGCAGTGCAGGCAGCTCCTGTCTTCCTGCCCCTGGTCCGCCTGATTGGTCAGTAAGCTTGTGGGGAGTAGGGGCGGCCGTGCAGTCCACGTTGTACAGTGTCTGCTGCACAAAGAAAGCAGTTCTGAGTGAGGGCCTTGGCAGGACCGCTAAGGTTGAACTCCCTTTCTCTAAACCTGAGGCCGGTTTTCTTTATGTAGTCCAGACAAGTAACTTTCCCAACAGATTCAATACAGAAACAGATGAAAACAAGCCCAGCCCTTTCTATTAAGCCAAACATGAAAAAAATAGCAAAATTCCTTTGTGACCCAGTGTCACTTTTCTGACTCATTTTTCATTGTTCTTTGGCAAATACCAGTTATTCCTCACAATATCGTTTCATATGTAACATGTGATGAGTTTGTTGTTATTATTCAAAACATTACAAATTGTTCTCCATTTTAGTCTCTAATACAGTAAATACTGATAGCTGTGTTCCACATAAAAAAGATCTCTTTGGAATTGTGACTAATTTTTGAGAGTGTAATGGGGCCTTTTGGGAAGTTGAGAATTGCTGCACTAAAGCACTGCCTTCAATATGACAGATGCCTATGTACACTTGTTAAATGAGTGAGGGGCTGATGGATGGGCTTCAATTGCTTCTGGGATGTGGAGGCTGCTGCGGGAATTGCAGGGAGGGGCCAGGCTCCTGAGGCAGTGCTGGTGGATGTCACTGGGCAGTGGGGGCTGCCAGGGTCTAGGAGAACTGGCTACCATTTAAGCAGTGTTGGCCTCAGGAGTGGGGTCTGGGGATGAGCGTAATGGAGGCTCTGTGTCCTAGGGTCTTTGGGATGCTCACCATATCTTCTTTCCCTTGGTGTTGGTGGACAGGAATTACCCAATATTCCTTTCCTGTGAGAGGAACCGAGCAGAATGGATTTCTAGGGATCTATGGCGGTTCAACCATGAGGTGAGAGCACAATGGCCAGAAGCCTATAGCGTTGAGCAGACAGATCCAGTCTAGGGACCTCTTGCTCCTTTTGTGGAGTCTCCGGCAAGTCATTTTTCTGCTGTCTGACTCTACCACAAGGTGAGGGTGGGGTAAAATGTTTGTGCAATGTCTGGCATATCCTGGGTACACAATACATTAGTGGGTCCATTAGCAATGTCATCAATAACAATAAAAAGAAGTAAGCTGGGAGGTCTCAGGTTAAGGAGGAAGGATCCCATGGGAGTTCTTCCTGGTATATCGACACTTGGTCCTGAATAATTCATTGCCATGGGGGCTCTCCTGTCCACTGTAGCATGTTTAGCAACATCCTGGCTTCTAAGCTCTACTTGGCAATAGCACTGTCTCCCTGGTTCTGACAGCCAAAAACATCCCCTGGGGGCCAGTTTGGGAAACTATACTACAAGGCATAGGTACTCAACCTTCTCGGGCTCCGTTGTGGGATGCCTGCTTGCTTGCAGTGCCCCAGGAAAAGGAAGACGTCACACCAGCCTAGCACACACAGATCTGACTCACTCCCTGCAGAAAAAATTCTGCCAAGATGTTCTGCTCTCAAGGAAACAAAAGGCTTCCTGTCTCTGATCCTTTTCTCTGAAGAACCTTCCTGCTAATGGAAACTTCCCTCAGCGTTTGGACAAGCCGGGACCCTGGGGAAGCAGTAGCTGACCAGCACAGGCTTTGCTGAAGGAAATGTGGCTAATACTAAGCAAGCCCGGGGGAGGCTGTCCTGCCTTTCATCCTTCACCTTGACTCCAATGGCATCCAACCCCCAAGTCTCTACTGAAACATCTGGTCCAATCAGAAGCAGAACAAATAAACCAAGGGTGGTATATTCATACAGCAGGATGCTACAGTGACCTGAGTGAATGTGTCATACTACATGCAACTGCATGGATGACTTACCAACATAATGTTGAGTGAAAGAAGCCCGGAACAAAAAGAGCACATATTATATACGACCATTACTGAAAAGCTCCAAAAAATCAAAATAATCTATGTTAAGGCTCCAGGGATGTGTGTGCAAGGGAGGCTCCTGGGATGCTGGCTTAGGTTGTGAAAATTCATTGAGCACTTTATGATATAGGCATTTTTTGAGATATATGTTATACTTCAGTAAGAAATTAAAAACATTCTGGGCCAAAGGGTAGGAAAAGCCCTTCACCAATATCCTTGTGAACACAGGGAAGAAAAATTATGAACAATTCTGCCTGCATGGCTCTAAGTTATTATTAATATTTTTGGACTCAGTTTTGTAAGTGAGATGATGTATGCAAAATAACTAACCTGGTAGTTGACATACAAAATGCTCAATGAATGGTAATAATTAATACTGCTAATAAGTTATTAACTGACCTAATATACAAAATAATAATTAAATACAAAGAATAGCCTTTTTTTCCTAAAGGAGAAAAAAAATGTTCTGGAGTTTTCAGGTATGTCTTTGGGTAGTAAGCTTCTAATTCTTTTTGGAGCTCCCTCCAAGCATAGTCTTAGAGGAAAGAAAAACCAGTAACCAACACAATAACAAAGTCTCAAAGCTTGGTCTCATTTGGCCAAAGTGTTCAGTTCACTTCAGATCCATCATTTACTGATCCAATGCACTCTTTAGCCAGGAACCTGTGATCCACCTGCCTAATCAAGCATTTGGATCACTTTGACCATCAACCTATGAATTTCCAGAACAAACAGGTGTGACTGCTTAGTCTCAGAGTAAAACTTTGACAGAAAAAGTGAGGTTTAGAAAATGTGCAATGATAGCTCCGTGTTCAACCTGATTGGAAAGAAGATTCTACAAATTCCTCTCTTCTGAGAGAGCCAGAAATTAGACAACCTCAGCAAGATGGAGGGTTTCATTACAAGCTGTTCTCTTCAACTGCAAATTAGACGCCAAATTAACTCTCAGGAAGATCTGAGGCTCTTTCAGATTATTTGCCACCAAAGAAGTCTTAGCCTGACTATTTCTGAATCAGATATGAGAGAGACTTCATTGCTTTGAGAAGACTTCTACTCCTAGAGCAACTTCCTAAAATTTCAGAATTTAGGAAATGCCTACAAACAGCTACACGTCCCTATGACCTGTGATGCCGATCATAGAATCACCTAATACGCTGTGAAGCAAATTGTCTGACATAGTCAAAACGCTTGGATTCACTGCAATGTACTTTGAAAGAAGAAAGTCCATGCCCATCTCCGGAGAAAGGGCAGGCTCTTACCTGTTCCCAGGCTTTGTCCATGGGCACTTGATTGGATCAAGATGCACAAAAACAAGAAGATAGAGACACACAGGGGATTTTCCATTTCTCCTGTTTCACCTGGGGTCCGAGGTCCTCTTGCTAATTTCTGAAGCTAAAGAGACCAGATTGCCTATTGATACTTTGTTAGGGAAGACTGTCCATTAATAATTAACCTTTTAAACATGTTTTCTAGTGTTCAGACTCTTTCCTTCCTACACCCAACCCCCAAATCTAAATCTACCTCATATTAAAAAAGAGAAAAAGGTTGATTTACAGAAGTATTTTTTATCCTGATACATTTTGAAAATAAAATATCTTGTCATGTATTCTTGCCTTCCAGGGCCAAGGTCACAGTTCTAAATGCATCAGTTTGAAGTTAATATGTTTGGAAATTCTGTCAAAGGTCAGGGGTAGGTGGCTTCCACAGAATTGCCAAAGTCTCTCTCTGTCAGCACTGCAAAGGGGATACAGGCAGTGGTATTTCAAATGCAGACTAAACTCAAAGAGAAAGGAAAGGGCTCTGCTATAAGGAGAGCCCCCATGGGGTCTGTTTTCTGTTGAGTTTAGCAAACTACTGGTTCTGTGATCAAAGAGTGATGGGCAAAATTTCTATAACTGAAAGGGGCAGAAAACCTCTAATGTCAGTGTAAAAAGGAGTTGGTAAAGGAGCCAAGATGACGAACTGCATGCTTTTGCTGGGGGCCCCTTTGAAAAATGAGTAAGCACACTCTTTCCTCCTTTGTATTAATGGATGCTCTAACTGTGTAGAGGACTGAGAAGTAAGGCCACTTGGTGAGACCAGACAGGGGAAATGCTACCATGCATTTCTCATATTAATATTCCTTGGTAAACTTTATTCATTTTTTTCAACTTTTAAAAAAATACCTATTACATACCAGGCACTATTCTAGTACTTGGGATAAACAAGTGAACAAAACAGACCAAGATTCCAGTCCTTGTGGTATTTATGTACCATTGGAGATGGGAAGAATAAGATAAGAGACAATAGGTATAATACATAAGAGATTTATGTAGATTGGTAGAATGCGATCTAAGTGACAGGAAAAGGAAAAGTATGGCTGAGTTAAGGGGTTTGGGGAAGGTAGTGATTTTAAATAGAATGGTTAGGATGAGCCTTTTTGGGAAGTTGAATTCTGAGCAAGAGTTTGAGGGAGTTGCCCCTGTGGACATGTTGAGGAGGAGAGCATCAGGTAGTTAGAATAACCAGTGCAGCCAGTGCAAAGGCCCTGAAGTAGGAGCATGCCTGGAATGTTCCAGGAACAGCATGGAGGCCGGTGACTAGGAAAACATCATTAAAAGGACTTTGGCTTTTATACTGTGAGACGTGGGGACCCACTCTGAGCAGAAGAGTGATATAATTTGTATAGTATTTGTAAAAGATCATTCTAGTTTACAAGAATAGGAACAGATTACTAGCAAACCAGGATGCAAGTGGTGAGATCTGCCAGGAGACTATTACAGTGATCCAGCAAGAGGTGATGGTGCCTTAGTTCAGCATGGTCATAGTGGAACTGGGGAGTGATGGATGGGTGGTGGATGTATTTTGAAGGTAAATGCAAGAGGATTTCCTAACTACTGGGGTGAAGAGAAAGAAGAGTTGAAGATGACTTCAAGGATTTTGGTTTGAGCAAGTGGGACAGTGGTGTTGATATTAGCTGAGACAGGAAAGGCTGTGAGTGGAGCAGAGTTGGTGGTAGAAGATCAAAAATTCAGTTTTGGCTAGGTGGAGTCCAAGATGCTTTAGACATCCAAGTTAAAATGTTAGGCAGGCATTTAGCTAACTTGATGATCACTGCCTGGATGAAACGAACTGGGCAGGACCTTCATTTGGTCCTATTAGTTCAGACAGACTGACTCCAGGGCAAAGCTTAAGACTGTGCTGTCTGGTGGCTGAACTTCCTTCTGGAGGTCTATGGCATGGAGACCATCTAGTTGGATGCATGATTCCTGAGCAGAGGCTTCTGTGCTGGCTTCTTGGCTGGCTTCATCCTTCCTGCACTGTTAAGCAAGATCTGAAGGTTCCACTTTACTGATATCCCAGAAAGCTGGAACCTAAAACAGCTGACTATCTACTTGGCTCCTCTCCCCAGGGCCTACTTTATCTCTTGTCTTCTGGGTACTGCCCGGAACCAACTCCCCTCCTGACCTCACTCTGCAGATTAATTTACCAAGACACTGGTGAATCCATCTGCCTCTAAGATCCTGGGTTTTCTACCAACTAGCTGTGCACAATGTTACTTAACTTTCATGAGTTCCATCTCTTCATCTGTAAAATAAGAGAACATGAGCCTGAGATAATATTTTGAGATATCAATAATGTATTTCTCCCAAACTCTCCCTCATACCCTCCCTCTCATCTAAGAAGAGTAAAGTAGACAGAAGTCTATAAATCTTTTGTCTTCCTAAAGCTTCAGTTCAGCTCAGTCGCTCAGTCGTGTCCAACTCTTGGCGACCCCATAAACCGCAGCACACCAGGCCTCCCTGTCCATCACCAATTCCTGGAGTTTACCCAAACTCATGTCCATTGAGTCGGTAATGCCATCCAACCATCTCATCCTGTGTCGTCCCCTTCTCCTCCCACCCTCAATGTTTCCCAGCATCAGGGTCTTTTCCAATGAGTCAGCTCTTCTCATCAGGTGGCCAAAGTATTGGAGTTTCAGCTTCAACATCAGTCCTTCCAATGAACACCCAGGACTGATCTCCTTTAGGATGGACTAGCTGAATCTCCTTGCAGTCCAAGGGACTCTCAAGAGTCTTCTCCAACACCACAGTTCAAAAGCATCAATTCTTTGGTGCTCAGCTTTCTTTATAGTCCAACTCTCACATACATACATGATTACTAGAAAAACCATAGTTTTGACTAGACAGACCTTTGTTGACAAAGTAATGTCTCAGCTTTTTAATAGGCTGTCTAGATTGTTCATAACTTTTCTTCCAAAGAGTAAGTGTCTTTTAATTTCATGGCTGCAGTCACCATCTGCAGTGATTTTGGAGCCCCCAAAAATAAAGTCAGCCACTGTTTCCCCATCTATTTGCCATGAAGTGATGGGACTGGATGCCATGATCTTAGTTTTCCAAATGTTGAGCTTTAAGTCAACTTTTTCATTCTCCTCTTTCACTTTCATCAGGAGGCTGTTTAGTTCTTCTTCACTTTCTGCCATAAGGGTGGTGTAATCTGCATATCTGAGGTTATTGATATTTCTCCCGGCAATCTGGATTCCAGCTTGTGCTTCCTCCAGCCCAGCGTTTCTCATGATGTACTCTGCATATAAATTAAATAATCAGGATGACAATATACAACCTTGACATATTCCTTTTCCTATTTGGAACCAGTGTGTTGTTCCATGTCCAGTCCTAAAACTTAGGACCTAGCATAAGTGAATTCTAAGCAACAAAGGCAAGCAAAAGGCTAAGAATGTTTTAAAGGGATGTGAAGGGAGAAAGAATATTCCTACCTTCCTATCACTAGAGAGTGTCTTGGACTTTGTAAGTAGATTGGGAAAAGGGAGATTTGTCTAGAGGGCAGAGGGGACAGTACGTTGCTTCCAGAAGGTGGTAAGAACTCAAAGAGGAAATGGCTGTGAGTTTGTCAGTGGCGGGGCAAAATACACCCCTGTTCTTGGTATAGGTTGGGAGTAGCAGTGAGCTACCAGTAACAATAGGTCATGAAGATGAGGAGGACGGGGGGGGTCGGGTCATCTATGTGGACTGATGGGATAGGGCCAGGTGCTCACCCCAACTCCAGGCCTTGGTATTGTGTCTGATCTAGAACTGGTGGTAGGTGGGACTGGGGTGAGAAAGAATCCAGGAGAGCCTGAAAAATAGAAGTTTGAAATTATAATTCGGGTGGGTTACAGAAAGCAAAGCGATTTCTTCTACATCAGAATCTGTGGACTGAGATTCACACCTCTGCAAGCACAGGTATGTCATGAGTATTAGAGATTTATATGTGAAGTGCCCAGCCAAGTGTCGAGTTTATAGTAGCGTATATGTGCTCAGTCACTCAGCTGTGTCTGACTATTGTGTCCCCAGGGACTGTAACCTGCTAGGCTCCTCTCTCCATGGGATTTCCCAGGCAAGATACTAGAGTGGGTTGCCATTTCCTTTTCCAGGGAACCTTCTTGATCCAGGGATTGAGCCTCCGTCTCCTGCATTGGTGGGCAGAGTTTTACTACTGAGCCACCTGGGAAGCCTCAGTTCATAGTAGAGGTTCAATAAATTACAGTGGCTTGGTTTGGAAGCAATCAAGGCACTGGAATCAGCCAGATCTAGGTTAAGGTCCCTGGCCTATTGCTTACTAACTGGGTGACCTAGGGCAAGACATTAGCATTCTGAGATTTTGATTTTTCCTTCTGGATAGTGGGACTAAGCATATTTACTTGATCAGATTAAAGGAGAGGTAAACCCTAGGCAGTCTTGCCAAGCAGGAAATAATACATAGCAGCTATTGTTATTTTTATTGTTTTAATTTATGTAGGGAGTCATGAAGGTATCCAGGAGGTAGGTACCAGTAAGATCACAGGATTAAAATTTTAGCAGAAAATTAAAAGGGGAGGAAAACAGAAAGGTCTGGATCAGTGGTTCCAAACTATGATTGAGGGTTAGAATCAGAGTCAGCCTGAGAGCTCAGGAAAAGGAAAAACTTCAGGCCCCTCCCATGAAAAAGTAAACAAGAACTTCCAGGACTGGGGGCTGGACCATCTTAAACAAGTTCTTCAGATTGTTCTTGCTCACCCAAAGTTTGAGAACCATTGCCTCAGAGTGTGCTTGAGAGATCTGTTGGGGAGGAAGAAGAAAATACTAGATCTTCCTAATTTTTCTCATATCACTTGCTATAGGCTGAATGCTTGTGTCCCCTACAAATTAGTACATGAAACCTAGCCCCAGGGTGATGGTACATGTATAGGGCCTTTGGTAGGTGACTAGGTCTTGATGGCAGAGCCCTCATGAATGGAATCAGTGCTCACATGAAAGGAATGCCAGACAGATCCCATGAGCCTTCCTCCACGTGAGGTTACAGTGTGAGAATATGGCCATCTATGA